GCCTGATCTCTTAAGGGTAATAATGATGAACTTATTCATTATTGTCAATATTTCAAAAATCTATTCCACATCCAATGTTCTCAAGCAAGTCACCTGAACCAAATTTCCCTGTGTCTTGCTGGAACTGCACCAACCAAAGTTTACTAATAAAGGGGAAAGAAAATAACTATTACACATGCTGGCACCTAGAAGGTGCCAAGTAAGGATCTAGATGAATGATGACAAAGAAATGTCTAGAGGCAAAACTTTCAAAACCAGTAACTGCATAAGTTGAAAATAACAAATAGCTGTCCACTACGCGTTTGCTCTGCTGTACTGTGAGCTTCCAGAGACCACTTGCCTTCGTTCTCCTCTCATCCCTCCCTGGTGCTCAGCACAGGCCTCCTGCATAGGCAGAGCTCACAGAAGGATGCTGGATTGATCTGGGGTGAGGCAAAAGCAATTACATTTTCATTTTAATTTCTTTTATACATTCAATCACTATACATCACTTAGCTTGTAAAGTTAATTTTCCAACATGAATACATTTCTCATCAGTACAGTTGGGGATACTATAGACTTTATCATCAACAGATAATAATCCATTTCTGTGTCCCATAAAATGTCTTGCCTCTCTATTTTTCTCCTTAATGTCTTTCCTCAGACTCTCCTCCTTCTCCCACCCTCTTCCCACACTGTATCCAGTATATATAACCATGTTCCTTATTTCTATATCCTCTAATTTTTCCGTTTCAGTCATAGAGTGCAGACATTCAGTACTAAGTGGGGACATACAATGTCTCTCCTTCATATCCTAGCTTGCTTCACTCAGCAGAAATCTCCATATTTGTCCACTTTCAATTACTTTTGCACCCCAGCATCCTAAGAAGACTCACAGTGGGGACACTGCAGAGAGCCATCAGGAGAGATAAGAAGGAAGTGAGGGGAGGAGGGACAGAGGATCAGAGGAGGGAACCCAAGCTGACCAATGAGACAGGCAAACCACCTTCCCCAATTCTAGCAATTCAGATCATCATCATCTTTACAGGGTCCTTTCTTCTGTGCTGTAAATATAAGGCTTCCTGGATAACTGATGTCCTGGGGGCTGACAGACAACACCTCATTCCT